ACCACACACACTACCACCGCAAACACTATCACACAAATTATACCACACACACTCTCCCACCACACACACTACAACCACAAACTATACCACCACACATACTACAACCACAAACTATACCACACACACACACACTACCACCACACTCTATCACTACACACATAAACTACCACCACACACACTACCACCACACACACTACAACCACACACACTACCACCACACACACTACAACCACAAACTATACCACCACACACACTACCACCACACACACTACCACCAAATACACTACCACCAAACACACTACCACCATACAAACTACCACCACACACACTACCACCATACAAGCTACCACTACACAAACTACAACCACACACACTACAACCACAAACTATACCACCACACACACTACAACCACAAACTATACCACAAACACACTACCACCACACACTCTACCACTTCACACACTAAATACCACCACATAAACTACCACCACACACACTACTACCACAAACTATACCACCACACACACTACCACCACACACACTACCACCACACACACACTGTAACCACAAACTATACCACTACACACACTAACTACCACTTCACACACTACCACCACACACTCTACAACCAAAAACTATACCACCACACACACTACAACCACAAACTCTACCACTACACACACTAACTACCACCACACACACTACCACCACACACACTACCACCACACACGCACTTTAAGACAAGTAAACTTAATATTACAAGACCAATTCACTCTCCATCCTTTTGATCAGAACAACAATTAACCACATCACGGTCTAGACATGGATACACTCTAACACCTGGGCTCGCCATGTTGGCCTTGTGACTTTTAAGGAATTTATTAGTAGTGATATAAAATTACATGGCCTGATCATGAGGAACAATACTTCAAACAAAATATAAGTAATAATTAAATGTAAGTGTGTGAGTCTGTGTGTGGTGGTGGTGTGTGAGTCTGTGTGTGTGTTTTTTACATGGCTTTCAGACATTATTTCCTTTCATAATTTCCTATGAGCGTGGCGTTTGGTTCGGGAAATATAAACAACATTTCCTATGAGCGTGGCGTTTGGTTCGGGAAATATAAATAACATTTCCTATGAGCGTGGCGTTTGGTTCGGGAAATATAAATAACATTTCCTATGAGCGCGGCATTT